TGTCCAACCAGAGCCTGAGGGCGGAGCGCGGCCTTCCCCCGCTCAGAGGCGCCGGCTCCACCCCTCTGCCCGGCAATTGGTGAATTGGCAGCTCCGGGGGCGGAGATGAGCGGTGTCCCTCCACCTCCTCCAATGGAAATGAGGCAGAGGCGGGCCCAGGGGCGAGAGGACCATGGCGTGGACACAGCTGAAAGTGAGTGTGGAAACTGGGTCTGTCGCGAAGGCGAGGAAGAGTCGGCGAGGGCAGGGCTGGCGGGGAATGCAGGGGGAGCCGCGGCGAGGTGTGGACGGGAGGCCGCTCCGAGAGCGTCGGGCACGTCTGGGTGTCTCTGCAAAGGGTCGTGTGTGTGCATTTGTACACATGTACTTGGTCTGTGTGTAAACGGCACGTGTGTGTCCGCGTAGACGCCAGACTCTGTCAGCGCGCGTTGGCCAGTGACTACATGAGGGCCCAGCACTGCGTGCAGCTTCTAACGTGCAGTGAAGACACAAGACCTGCTCCCAACCCGTCTGGACAGAATGTAGGGCGGGGGCTCCGTGTAACGGTGCTGGTATTTGTTGATTGACATGCAGGGGCGTTCCCACAGCCTGGAGACCAGAAGTAAGACCGCAAATACTGGATCCACTACATTAACAGCTTGGAGTGATCTTTAAAGGCGAATGTGACCTTTGAACAAAACCCATATCTTTATTCTGGCCAAGATCTCTGCCTGTTTTCCCAGCTTCTCTTTGAGCCATACTTTAACTCCTCGGTTCCAGAGGAACCTTTCCCCATCCCCCTCTGCCAGGGGAGAGCCTTGGCGCTTTCCCTCCCCCACTGCCTCCTGGTTAACTCCCGCTTATCCCTGGAATATTAGTGGCACTTCCTCAAGGAAGCCTTCCTCTACCTCTGAGGTTAGGCTCGGTTCTTCTTACCCTATACCTTCTTCATAGCAGTTGTAGTTATACAGTGGGGCCTTGACTTACCAGTGTCCCGACTAACGAGTTTTTTGAGATACCAGCTGTCTCTCGGCCGATTTTTTGCATTGAGTTGATAGAGTAATTTGAGTTAACGAGCTCCTTAACGAGCTCGGTCTGGGAACGAATTAAACTCGGAAGTCAAGGCCCCACTGTATATTTACATGATCATTGATTTCCGTCTCCTCATGAGATTGTATCCCCAGAAGGCAAGGACTCACTGATTAGCCCATCTATGAATGACTGAATTAACAAATGAATGACCCAGCATCTGGCAGTGATAATTAGAGAAAAGTATTATGAACCAATGTTGAACTAGGAGAATGGTGTTTTTTTAAAAATTTATCTTTATTGTTGAAAATATTACACGTCTCCTTTTCCCCCCATTGACCCCTCCTCTGGGAGAGTGGTTATTGACCTAATAGTACCTGGTGCTCCTTTAAAAAAAAATTGCAACTCCCTTTATTATTCTGAGATGGAGTTTATATATAATGTAATCTTCCTATGTATGATTTTAAAAAGTCATTATAATGTCCTAATTTAAATATAAAGGAGAAATGAAAGTAATTAAAAATAATATGCATTTCAATGTGTAAATGGTAGGGCACGACACCTAGATAGTGAAATAGTCAGCCTCTGCTTAGGAATTCTAGTGCCACAGGTATGTTTGTCACACACCCCAAGCAAAGCACCTTACCATTCCTGATGGATTTTCTGAAATAGGGAACACTTCTTGGTAATGTTCTGTGCAAACTAGCACAGGCCCTCCATTTACAAGGTCATTGTATTCCTGGAAAAGCCAATGCGTATGACAATACGGGAGATGGTTTTGTGTTTATTGGGAAAGGAGGGAGACCTGTGCTGGCAGAGAGCTAGGGGCATTGCTCCATGTGGCATGTCGTTGTGTCCTCTGTGTGGGGGGGTTTAAAGGGCTCAGAGAAGGTGCTGCAGCCTGGCTCTGAGGGCCAATGGGCTTTCTTTCTCCCCCCAGAGGCGGGCCCAGGATGCCTTGATCATCCTGGGGGGTGGAGGACTGCTCTTCGCCTCTTACCTGACGGCCACGGGGGATGAGCATTTCTACGCTGAACACTTGATGCCGACTCTGCAGGGGCTGCTGGACCCCGAGTCAGCCCACAGGCTGGCTGTTCGTGTCACCGCCTTGGGGCTCCTTCCTCGTGTCACATTTCAAGACTCCGACATGCTGGTAGGTCCTCTTGGGACACCTTGTGCAATACAAGGCCCACATCCCCTCATTTACACAGTGGGGGCTGAGCCTTCTGAAAAGCAGAGTCCCAAGTTAGCCCCAATTAAAAAAAGCTGTCATCCCCATCTACAGATCAGGAAACTGAGGCACGGAGGAGTTAAGTGAATTATCCGAAGTCACACAGCTGGGGAGTAGATGAGCCAGGATTCAGACCCTTGGAGTCCCCGTAGCCACTGGCCTGCCTTGCTGAGGTCAGGTGGCTCAGTCTTCACCACTGCGAAATAGGGAAACATGCCAGTCATTAAACGCCTCCTGTGACACAGGCATGTGTAGCCAAGCCTTCCAGGAAGGCACACAGACATCCATCCCAGGGTTATTCACTCCTGTGTTAGCACAGGGCCCACGTGTGCCTGTTACTGCTCTGGGTGCCGGGGTTCCTGCAGCTAAACAAACAGAAGAATCAGCGCCTGCTAGCATCTGTGTCCTTGTGTAAGCCCTGGCAGTTTCCATCCGAGAGACTTCTTACCAAACGGGGGACATCAGAATGACGTGAACATGAAGACGACAGACAAGAAGCACTCTTCGGGGAAGGGTCGCTGTCGTAAATCAAAGCGGCCGTTGTCTGCATCTTCCCTTTTGGTCTCAGGGTCCCTGTCACTTCCCCGTCCTGCAGTGTTGAGCAGATGTGTTCAGCAAGTCATTATTTAGGAGGTGGTGAACGTGTCTGGTGCCCCACAGGGGTCTTGGAGTCTGCCTGGCTGAGAGGGACGCAGCTGGGGCTGACATTCTAGGCTGATCCAAGGGTTTTGCTGCTTGACACTGTTTCAAATAGCACTAACTAGGGGGCCGACACCAACAAGCCACTCTCTTCCACCAAGGACAGCGGATAAGAAGGGATGACGATTACCTGCCACTAGAAGAGACAGTGTCCTCATCCTGCTGCACCGTGGTGGAAACCCTGTTTTTCTCCTCACTCTTGCTGGTGGATGATAATGCCTAGTGGTCTTGAACTTCAGCAGGCGTCAGAATCACCCGGAGAGCACTGTTAGAAATAGACTTGCTCAGAGCTCCATTCTGCCCCGCTGGCCCCCAAGGAATCTGATTCCTTAGACCAGTGGTTCTCAACCTTCCTAATGCCGTGACCCTTTAATACAGCTCCTCATGTTGTGGTGACCTCCAACCATAAAATTATTTTCGTTGCTACTTCATAACTGTAATTTCACTACTGTTATGAATCGTAATGTAAATATCTGATATGCAGGATGTATTTAGGCGACCCCTGTGAAAGGGTCATTCGACCCCCAAAGGGGTTGTGACCCACAGGTTGAGAACCACTGCCTTAGACTGAAGATAGGCTGTTTAACAAGCCCCCCAGGGAAATCGATGGAGGCGTGCCAGGCCACACTCTGAGAAACACTGGTCTAGCCTGTGTACCTGACTTTGTCTCCCTCTCCCTAGGAAGTGCGAGTCCTGGGCCATAAATTCCGAAATCCAGTAGGAATTGCCGCAGGATTTGACAAGCATGGGGAGGCTGTGGACGGACTGTACAAGATGGGCTTTGGTTTTGTTGAGATAGGCAGCGTCACCCCAAAACCTCAGGAAGGAAACCCCAGGCCCCGAGTCTTCCGCCTCCCCGAGGACCAAGCCGTCATTAACAGGTAGGTGAGCAGCTCAGGGGTTACAGGGCCACCTCCTCCCTGCAGGGACCTCTGGATGTTCTTTCTGTCTGTGATGCAGGCATTTTTCTGTCATTGTCAGGAACCAGGTGAAGCACCTACTATGTGCCAGGCGTAGGAGCAGGTTTTGGGGTTTCAGTTTAGCACATATACACACTGAGGCTCAGAGAACAACACAACTTAGCTACAGCCACAAGGTCACAAGCAGGAGAGCTTGGGTACAGAATTAGGCTTATTTGACTGTCGACTTATGCTTTTCCACATTGTTACTCCATTGCCCTTGCCCAGCGCTGTCTAGTAGAAATATAATGCAAACCCCATAGGTAACATAAAATAGTCTATGATAAAATAGCTATTTATTTTAGCTATGATAAAGTAGTAAAGAGAAGTAGGTGAAATGAATCTCAGTAATATATTCTATTTAGGTTTTTGTAATGTATATTGTTATTTAATTAAGTACTTAATATATTCTAAATATCATTTTATCATATAATCAACATACAAATGATTAAGAAGCTACTGACCCACTTTTCCTTGTACCAAGTCTTCCAGATCCAGTGTGTGTTTTTCTTCATGTTTCAAGTGCTCAGTGGCCCGTGTAGCTATGGCTCTTGTGTTGGATAGCCCAGCCCCAACTTTAGTAAGCTGGAAATTTTAATAATCAACATACACAGCTGCTTTTAGTAAGAGAGATCCTTCTAGAGTGTGTAAGTCCTCTTTATAATCCTGCTAAGTTTCTGTACAGCAAGCCCAGAAAACGAAGACGTTCCTACTTTTTGGTAACAGAATTTTGAAGAGCCTCCGAGGGGCCACTGGCCTCTGGAAGACGACCTATGGGGAGTGGACTAGGCTGCCACTTCCCGCTTGATTGTGCTTGCTTCAGGGAAATTTTCCAGCACTAGAGATCAGATTATTGATCTTCCTGTGGCATTGCAGGCTGGGGTCAATATCTCCAGCACGTCCAAGTCGCTGCAGGTAGCAGGGTGCCAGTGCTCGCGGAACCCTTAGAGGAGACGTGGCTGAGAGGAGAGCCTGTGCCCTGGAGCACGGTGGGTTCAGCTCCTTGCTCTGCGTGGCACATAGTGGACGCTCAGTAAACTCTTTTTTTTAAAAATATATTTTATTGATTTTTTACAGAGAGGAAGGGAGAGGGATAGAGAGTTAGGAACATCGATGAGAGAGAAACATCGATCAGCTGCCTCTTGCACACCCCCTAGTGGGGATGTGCCCGCAACCAAGGTACATGCCCTTGACCGGAATCGAACCTGGGACCCTTCGGCCTGCAGGCCGACGCTCTATCCACTGAGCCAAACCGGTTAGGGCGCTCAGTAAACTCTTGTTGAATGAACGAATAAGTTTATTCATCAGTCAACCAATGCACCTGCCACTGTGTCTTTTCGGTGTTTTCCGCTGCAAGTAACCAAGTAGCTTAAACAATAGGCGCTTGTCCCCCAGCACTGGGCAAGGAAACACCCGATTGGTGGTGTTGCTCTTATATCAATCAGGGGCAAAGCAGATGGACAGCCCTTGGTTCATCCTAGCTTGATGCCCGTGTTGGTGGCCAGAGCTGTTTCATGCCTGAGGCACATAAAAAACAAACAAAAAACTATAGGCGCTTGCTATTATGTTCCTCTCATAACAGGTGTAGTGGGCACTTCCAGGGATGGTTGAGCAGCTGGGCAATGTCAGACTCTGGTCCAGCTTCTCTGGGCCTTCCCTTGTTTGTAAGACAGCTACCCCAGCTGCAAGCATCACGTCCTCCCATGTGGACATCCGAGAGCAGACAGGGAAAAGGAAGCGTAGATATGGGAGCATCCTAGGAGCTCTCCAAAGTCTGCCCTTGTGTCTCAGTGACCACGCCCAGTCACTTGTTCATGCTTCAACTGCTAGTGGTCTGGGAAAGGAGTCATTGCCATTTTCACCCAGTCTCAGGGGAGGAAGGGAGACGGGGTGGCCATCAGAGCAACATCCCTCAGTGGGGCTGGGGAGACAGAGATGAGCGAGAGATGAAGTCACTGCCTTTGTGGACTGTCTAGTGGTGGGGTGATGAGGACATGTCCCTGTCCTCAAGAGGTTGATGATCCGAGGGGAACTTAAGCATGCATATGCATACATCTCACGCCAGGAAAAGATCAGTACAAAGCGCTCAGTGAGTGCCGAGAGGCGAGGAATCAATTGAGGCTGGGGAGCTTTTGATCTGGGCCAGGAAGAGGGGACGGTTTTAATAGGCAGACGGGCTGGGGAGATGGAGTGGCAGGATGGGCCCCAGCAGGTGCATGCATGGAGCACAGGCAGGAGGTGGGAAGAAGGGGTTGTCAGAGTGGTGACAGCTCCACTGGTGGAGGAGTGCATAGGTAAGGAGTGGGGACTTTCTTCTAGGAAGTCCAGGAGCATTTAGACCTTGGAAGTCTTAAGAACTGACTCATTTTCCTTTTCTTTTCTGTCTTTGAAAGTCACACATACGGCCATGGAGCCATGTCTGCAGTCTGCCTCCTGGCTGAGGGCTCTCACCTTGTCCATTCCCCCCCTGCGTGTGTTACAGATACGGATTTAACAGTCACGGGTTCTCGGTGGTGGAACACAGGTTACGGGCCAGACAGCAGACGCAGGCCAGACTCACAGAAGGTAAAGTGGGGCTGCCTGAGAGGGGCTTCCTTCATTTGTTGGAAGGAAACCTGTGGGAGAAACATCAGGGACATTCCTGGTGACATAACCGGGATTGAGCAATTGAAACAAACACTGCAGCACTCAGGGCTCTTTCCTAGAGGAATTTTCCTGGTTTCCTGGTTCCACAGTTTCCAAGATTTTAACAGAATTTCAGAATGTAGCCAAGTTACGGAAGCCATGTCATATCTTCACCGGGCCGGCCTCGAAGTGAGCAAAGCAGAGTGGCGCCTGTGTGATCTCAGAGGCAGCTAAGCTGTGGGCAGGCTCGAGCGCCAACTTCCTTGTCCTGCTCTGCTGTCCTGTGGCCCTTATATAGTGGATTTATAGAGCGTTGCTAACCACAGGGAAGCATGGAGAAGACAATTAAATTTCTGACATCCTCCTCCACTCAGGGGTAACGACTCTCGGCATGTGGGAGTTTGGACCACCATGCGTTCCAGCTTCGCTGGCCCTCAGGACGCACTTGGTGGTCGCAGTGCTGTTGTCTTCCCCACCTCCCCACGCGCTGTCGGGGATTGTCTGGGGCTGCGGCCTCTCCCCTCGTTGGGTCACTACAGGCCTCCTTCCAGGAGGGTTTAGTCTCATTAGAAATCCTGGTGGTGAGTGAGGTTGAAAGGGCCGAGGCTATCAGCAGTCTCTGGTGTGGGGAGTAGGAAGTGCCCTTGTTTGGAAATCGGTGGCTCTGGCAGAACCAGAGCCTGCTATGCTACACACCTTGCTGTTTGGGGAACTTTGAAGGTCATAGTATGACTTTCATGGTTTGTGATACTCTCCTGCCTCCCTTTCCTTTTGGCTGTCCACAGCGCTCTTCATACAAGCTGTCTCCCCGTTCTCCCTTGCCCATCCTCTCACCCACGCTCTGGTGCTAATAGTCTCTGGAGTGAAGCAAAATCCCATAGCAGAGCTATGCACACAGAGTTTCCCAGCAGCTAGAAGCCTGAGGACGGCTTATTGCTGGTGCCGTGCCAAGGAACAGGAGCTGACAAAGGCTGTGGTGCCCCTTGGGGATAGAGTAATTCAGTGATTTCTGTCAGTGTGGGGAGATGACTAGTAATGAAAGATCCTTAGCTACGTGGAAGCGATACTGCTTTCAGGCCAGTTTCTTTGTGTGGAAAAAGAATGAGAACTTACAAATGCCCTTGGCTGGATGGAGGCCAGATTTGGAAAGCTAGGACATCATGTTGTATAACCTTTGTCCACTGGGTTCTAACCTCACCCCCCAACCCCCACAACACACACACAATTAGCTACACAAATGTCATTTACTTGCAAGCTGATGATAACAGGGTGATACTGTAGGGTATGGGAAGGTACTCAGCAGGACTGGATGTTGTTCTTTGATCCTCCTTGACCTGACTCAAGTTTTCTGCGCTAACTTGATGTCTCAGGTCTTTTTCCCAACCGTCAGATGGAAAAGCAGCTGGTACCACTGACGTACCATTAACCTTTGCAGATAAGATGGTGTTTTAGGAGAAAACGCCTTGCTTTCATACAAAGCCTGTTACTGAAATGTGTTTTTTGGAAAGTCCAAAATGCAAGACGTGATAATCCAATGGACTTTTCAGTAAGGTGGCTGTATTACTGTTCAAATTGAGACACTTTTGAGGGTGAATTAATAATATGCCCAGGCTACAGGACTAATCAGGGCCATCCTGGGAGCACTGGGCTGTGTGATCACCCTAGTTATAGAGGGAGGCCCTTCTCAGAAAACTGAAATGATAAAACAATGATACGTCTACATGATAATTGAAAATAATATTTCCCAATATTTTATACATAGTGTTTAATTTTGGGTTTTCTTCACAACTGCACACGCAGTCATTCAAACCAAGTCCAATGAGCAGCCCTTGAGAGTTAAGAATTGCCCCTCCTGACATTCCTATTGATTTCTGTCTGTTCTCAGTTGTATGACATTTATGAGCCCTACCTTTTTTGTCACTAGTATTTGCATTCCGAATTTCTCCATTTTTCATCAAAATTTTTAAAACAACTAGGGTATGCCCTGGCCAGTGTGACTCAATGGTTAGAGCGTCAGCCTGCACTAAAGGGTCCCGAGTTTGATTCTCGGTCAAGGGCAAACGTGGGTTGCGGGTTTGCAGGGCATGTATGGGAAGCAACCGATCGATGTGTCTCCTCTCTCACATGGATGTTTCTCTCTCCCTCTCTCTCTCTCTCTGCCTATCTCTCTCTCTCCCTCCTCCCTCCCTTCCACTCTCTGAAAAGCAATGGAAAAAATATCCTCAGATGAGGGGGGAAAAAGAATAAGGGCACAATGCAGTAAAATGTCTTCGTGGTTGCCCCAACATTGCTACACAGACAAGATGGTGAGCTGTTTCCTGGTCCACAGGCAGCAGCACCGAGCAGGATATCGTAGCATTTGTTAGCTGGTGTTCGAAGTTCACATTGCAGGGGGAGGGCCTATAGGCTGTTCATGTCAAGGAAGTGGTGTGTGGGGACAAAATCTTGACCAGTGATATTTGCAGGTGGGCTGCCACTGGGAATAAACCTGGGGAAGAATAAGACCTCGGTGGATGCTGCCTCGGACTACGCAGAGGGGGTTCGAGTCCTGGGCCCCTTGGCTGACTACCTGGTAGTGAACGTATCCAGTCCCAACACTGCAGGGCTGCGGAGCCTTCAGGGAAAGGATGAGCTGCGCCACCTGCTGACCAAGGTGGGAAATTACATTAAATCCTGTAATGCTTTCCTACAAAGCCCGCTCCTCCAGCCTGTCCTGTTCATTCTCCAGGGCCAAGCTTCCATGGCACCATGTAGGGCTGTCCTTAACACTTCAGCCAGCTAGGACCCCTCACTATGCCTCTCATCCCCACCATAAAACTGATGATGCTCAGTAGTAGTTAATTTCTAAGTTTTCTGTCCCTCAAGTTCAACAATGAAGGGACCATAAATTTCATTTACCATGCTGTCCCTAGCACCTAGGACGCTGAATGAATGAGTGAATTGAATGACTTTTCATCACACAGTCTTGTTATCTCTTTTAGGAACAAAAGTCTAAATAAGCCACAATATATTAGCCGATGCCCATGACCACATTAGGGACTTAGTCCTGGGGATTTCTTGGTTCAAGAGAATGGAATGAGGTTTGCCTGGATGGGGAATAGTGCATAACTGAGGGCTGTGTTTTCCGAGAAGGAGAACTTGCTCATGCTTCAGTTTGATAGCTGATGTGAAAATACACTGGTCTGCGCTGCAGGTCACAGTGCACCCCCAACTGTGGTCTCAGGGGTCCCCATCTCTGGCCACTTGTCGCTGTAGGTGCTGCAGGAGAGGGATGCCCTGAAGGGAGCGCACAAACCGGCCCTGCTGGTGAAGATCGCACCCGACCTCACAGCCCAGGACAAGGAGGACATCGCCAGTGTGGTGAGAGAGGTGAGGGGCCCTCCCTGCTGCCCAGACGCAGCCTCTGTGGTTTTCTCTCTGTGATACTGAGGGCTGGTTTGGTATTTGTCACAACTTAATTCATAAGATAAAAAGTGGATGCTTGAATAAATGTTTGAATGAATCTTTTTCCGGTGCCTCTTCCCTCCTCATCCAGCTGGGGCTTTCAGGCTTGTGTCCTTGGCCAGCCTTGGTCAGAGTGGAGGACAGGCATACCTGCTTTATTGCACGTCACAGGCCCTCCACCAGCAAAGGGATTACAACTCCCTGTATTGCGAGACTAGTCTTGTTGTGGCAGGAACTGGACCTGCGGTATCTCCGAAGTGTGCCTGTGTTCCTCTCTCTCCAGTCTAGCACCTGGTCTCTGTGTCGAAGGAGATTAGTGGAAACAGACTGAGCCCCACAGTCCTGGGTTCAAATCTTGGTTCCATCGCTTACTCCCTGGAGAATGGTAGACTAGTGGCTCATAAATGTGATACAACTGAGAACAGACAGAAATCCATGGAATGTCAGAAGGGGCAGTTCTGGGCTCTCCGGGCTGCTCCTTGGGTTGTTAGGAGGATTCTAACCCTGTCCCAAGGGAGCTTTCTAGGCGGTCGCTATGTGACGGCAGCTGTTGTCATGTTGAGGCTTGTTTAGACACCTGTTCAGGAGCATAGTGAGTCCGGGGTAGTCCTTGATTTGGGGGCTGTGGGTGTGGGCACCTGGCTGCCTGTGTCTCAGCCCCTGGGGCAGCTTCTCCGAGTCCGACAGAGCCCTGACTGGATAGCTCTCTCTGTGTCTCACACCGCAGTTGGGCATCGATGGGTTGATTGTGACAAACACCACAGTGAGTCGCCCTGCCAGCCTCCAGGGTGCCCTGCGCTCCGAAACAGGAGGGCTGAGTGGGAAGCCCCTCCGGGACTTATCGACGCAAACCATCCGGGAGATGTACGCACTCACCCAAGGCAAGGATTCCATGTCCCCGTCTTCGGATTTGTGTGTGGCTCGGGCTCTTGGGCTGTGATCAGAATCGGGGTTCCCTGAACCGCTGCAGTCAGCAGGTGGGCCGAGGGCTGGAGCCCAGCTGAGCCCCTGGTTCCCACATCGTCATGGTGTTGCCCTGTGCTTCCCTACAGGCAGAGTTCCCATCATCGGGGTTGGCGGTGTGAGCAGTGGGCAGGACGCACTGGACAAGATCCAGGCGGGGGCCTGCCTGGTGCAGCTGTACACGGCCCTCACCTACTGGGGGCCACCTGTGGTGGGCAGAGTCAAGCGGGAGCTGGAGGCCCTTTTGAAGTGAGTGGGGCCACGTGTGGCTTGAAACTGAGGTTAATGTATCAATTCAGAATGACTTGAATCAAGGGCGTCTTACTGATCTGTCTTTACTCTTCATGCAAAAAGGATCTGAGGGGTGGGTATACTCAGAATGCAGGGGAAATTACTCTGTTGCTCCTTTGATGAAGGACCAACGGTGTTGAAGAATTCAAGATTAACACCCAAGGCAATGGTGTGTATGGGCCTGCGGAGTCCTGGTGGCATTCTCCTCATTAATTCAGTCACATTGGCTTGATGTCAGGGAGCTGTCATACTTAAAATTGCCTGCCTTCTGGTCTAAGACCTGGGTGTTCAGATCTAGATTCCTGGATGAAGACAGTGCAGGGGCATGAGGTCTGTGTTTGGGATCAAGAGAGGGGGGAGGTGCAGTTATGGAGCAGGTGGAGCCCCGGTGAATGTGGGCATCTGGTAAGAACAGGGCCTGTCCTTCATCATTTGCTGAACTTGCTTTGTTTTCCCTTTTCCAGGGAGCAGGGTTTTCCCAGCGTCACAGACGCCATTGGAGCAGACCATCGGAGGTGAGGACACTGTCGGTGGGAAGCCCGGTCCAGACGCTTCTTCCCACTAAGTCAGGCGAGCCTCTGTGGCTGGATCGAGAGAGGGAGGACTGTCTCAAGCCACATCTGCAAACCACAGGAGCCCCTTCTGTGAGGCCAGGCGGACTGTGAAAGCCACTTGCAAGGGTCCCAGAATCAACACAAAACTTTCTGCAGTCACCTGCCAGGAGGAACTGCATCCGGGACCTTTTCCAGACTCAAGTCCCAGGATCCTTTCATATTGCGAGGACATGAGATATTTGGGGGCCGGGGGCTCATGGAAAAAATAAAGCAATTTAAAACCTGGATAAATCCCAGCTCTTTCTGGAAGGTCCACTGGCTTCAGGCACTGCAGGTCCTTCCAGGCCTCTGCTATCTGGGTCTGCAATGGTTTTCCCAGAGCTTGACGCTTACATTCTATTTTTGTTCTTATTTAAGTTTTAACTTAATTTTGAAAACATTTCAAATTCAGACAAAAGTTGTAAGAACAGGGCTTGTGGATAGCTGTCCTCTCCCTGTGTCTTCACAGCCTCTTCTCGCTGAGTGTCTGTGTCCTGATCACTTCTTACAAGGACGCCAGTCATTCTGGACTGGGACCCACGCCAGTGACCTCATTTTAACTTGACTGCCTCGCTCATGACCCTGTCTCCAAGCAAGGGCACACTCTGTGGTATCGGGGAGTTAGGATTTCAACACATCGATTTGGGAACACACAACTCAACCCATCACAAGAAGTCACGTGTCATGTGACGGTGCCATCAGACTGAAGAGGTGTAGTCGTTAACTAAATACAAAGAGAAACGCCAATCTTCTCAGTACTGGGAAGCACACGGGCAAGAGAAGTGCGAGCCTCGTCTGGGAAGTGCTGTGGTGCCTGGCACACCTTCTCAGCCAACAGAAAATCACCTTTGTTCCCTCCGCCCCAGGACAGACTATTTTAAGTTTGATTCTCGGTAGTTCTGGGGAGAAGCACGGAGCTGCAATAGCGATAACGTGTCCTGTTGCCTCATCTTTTCATCTCGGCCTCAGCCTGGGCCTCCTCCCCATTCACTCTTTGCCAAGAAACTGGCAGCCAGTCTCCTGCTGTTTTTCTTCCAAAGATTGTTTTCCTGGTTTTTATTATGAAAATACCTACTCATTAATAAATTTACATCATACAGCCCCCAAGTAAAAGCTGTCTACCTCTTCACCCCCTCCCCAAACGATTCCACTTCCCAGAGGTAACTTCTGTATCTCTAGATATTTCTAAACATTTTTCTTTGTATATATGAACATCCGTATCCATTACTACCTTTTAAATCTATCTGCATGCACATATATAGAAATGTTTCAAGAAGAACAGTGCGAAGAACTGTTTTAATACTAAGTCACATGAGAGTAAATTGCTGACCTGATGCCCCACCATCCTGAATGTGTCCGTGTGGGTTCCTTGCAAACAAGTACCTTCTGCTACACAACCACAATGCAACCATCGAAGTCGGGATATGGCACTGATACAGTTGCGTCCATTTGATGCCAGGCCCTGTAGGAGCAGAACTTCTAAAATGCCTCCTGTCCCCAGGTGCCCTGCCCTAACGCCTGGGACCTACACTCCCAGGACTGTGCTGCCCAATGGTTTAAGACAGGAACCCTCTTGAAGATAGATTATCCGTGTGGGTCTAATCTAATAAAGGGCTCTTGAAAGAAGACACGAGAAAGAACGAAAGTGTTGCTACTTTGAAGACGGGGGTGGGGGTGTCGCCAAGGGTGTGACTTGGGTAGCTAGCTCAGTGCCCATTTTGGCAGGAAAATCACATGTACAGAACATGGGGTTCATCTGGCTCTGCTCTCGGTGGCAAATGGGGGCCCAGCTCCATCTGGGAGAGGACTGCTCTCCAGCTCCAGGCGGCTTGCCACCCAGGAGTGCCAGCCAGCAACTCATTTGATCAGAGAGGCAGAAATCAGCATGTTTTATGTGGCGGTATAACTCCCTAACTCCTCTGAGCCGAGCACACCAGCAGGAGAAAGGCGGTGGGTGGAGGGATATCAGGAGAACGACCATCTCAGCCAGCCCCCTCCTGCACCCCCTCCCACAGGAGGGCCCCAGGGATGACTCACCGTGGGTGGGGGGAGAGTGCAGACTTGGAGTCGCCTTAGGAGATTTACCAATCCCCGCTGACGCCCCATTTTCTCTCCTAGAAAAAAAGTGGTTTGGAGGGTAAAAGATATCTAAACAGTAACTTTTACAAGGATGCATACTATGTGCCAGGCACATGTGTACTTACTAGCAATGGCAATCATGTAAAGTGTGCATGCCTCAGTTTCCTAACGTGTATAATGGGGAGAAGCACACTACCCATCTCAGTGGGTTGTTAGGAGATTACATATGAAGTGCAATAGTGCTTAGCACATCCTACCCTCCTAATAAATGTTATTTTCATATCTCCAATCCCCACAAAAGTCCTGCAAGTAGGTATTATCGCACCTGTATATATAGATAAAACCAGAGCTTTGAGGAATTAAACAGCTTCACCAAACCAGGCAGCTCGGAATCGGCAGAACTGAGCGCAGGCCCTGAGTTCTCTTCTCACGCAGGGAAGGGCCGCACGGGGCCTCTGAAAAGCACTATTAGTTCCTTTTCCCTACAGAGAGACTTCGTGCTGCGTGCCATTACTTGTTAAAAAAGCTTCCATGGAACCTTGCCCTGGGCACTTGAGTGGTCTGATAGGAGGTGGTGAGGAGGGTCTAGTGGTCAAATCTCTGAGCTTCTTACAAGTGGGATCATCCTGTAGGAACCACAGTGCCCACCAGGGCTGAGCCAGAGGCTGGAAACAATCACTTATTATCCCACACGGTGCCCTTGGGCCAGGAATTCAGGAGCAACTTAATTGGGTGGTTCTGGCTCAGGGTCTCTCATGAGGTGGTAACCACGGCACTGGCTGGGGCTGCAGTCATCCAGGGCTAACTGGGGCTGAAGGATCCACTAGCAAGATGGGTCACTTACGTGGCTCGTGAGGTGGTGCTGGCTGTTGGCCAAAGTGTCAGTGGATCTCTCCATGGGCTGCCTGAGTGTCCTCACACCACAGCATCCGGCTTCTCCCAGACTGAGTGATCTAAGAGGGAGGGAGGTGAAAGCTGCAATGCCTTTTATGCTTGGAAGTCACATATCGTTACTTATGCCACATTCATTCTTCTATTCACTGGAATAGAGTTGCCAGTTTTAGTAAAGCAAACAAAAACAACAGGATGCCCAGTTAATCTGAATTCCAGTTAAACAATGCATACACTTTAGTACAAGTATATCCCACAGAGTAATTGGGGCATACTTATATGAAAATTTATTTGTTGTTTTTCTGAAATTTAAATTTCATTTGGGCATCGTGTATTTTATCTGGCAACCCTATGTTAGAAGTAAATCACTTAGTCCAGGCCACCCTCAAGGGGAGGGGAATTAGGTTCCATTTTTGAAGGGAGGAATGTCAAAGAGTTTGTGGAGGTATTTCCAAACCACCACAAGCAGAATTTTGAAAAATGTCCTTTGGTCCTGGTGTCTGTGGGTAACTGCATGAGAGCATAACAGGATGAAGTAGTTCTGGGGCGAGCAAGGTCATCTTCCTAATAATCTTGCACATTTGTTAGCTCACAGCAAATCACACACGACTTCTTCTTTGATCCTCACACAGCCCTGGAGGTGGGTGAGGCAATGACTACGATCTCCATTTTACAGACGAGGAAACTGAAGTTGAGTGCCTGCTCCAAGATGATATGGGCAGAAACGGTGGAGGGAGGACAGAGGCTCCTAACGAGGCTGTAACTGAGGCATTGGCCTGTCTTGGATTCATCTTTAATCTTCTGTCACGTTGTTATTTCAAATAGGTGATGGGCTGTGTGGAACCTTGATGCCGTGCTGTCTTCCGAGTGATGGGGAAGACCCTCCAAGAGGCTGAGGGCCAGATGCAGTCTTCTCTCTCCCCATCTCCACAAGCTCCAGGACCCCCTGGCTAAGCCTGGGGGATGCACCCCACCACCTGCAGACCCTTTGAGCTGACTGGCTGCGGAATGCTGAGAGGAACATCATTCCCTTTCACCAGGAGTCAGCCAACCACACATGAGACTGTGGACCAGCCGAGTCAAACAGAGAACTACTCTCCCCACTTTTTATTACAAGAAATTTAGACATAGAGAAAAGTTGAAAGGGTAGTATAATAAATATCTATACCCCTTCCACCCACTATACCCATCTTACTATGAGTAATTCTTACTATCTAGCTAATAAAAATATCTTTTCCGTATTTTCTTTATAAATATCTTTACCTATTTATATGCAGAATTTTGACAAAACATTTTGAAGGAAGTGGGAGATTCAGGACACCTCACTCTTAGCTTGCATCTTCTAAAAATAAAAACATGCTCCTATGAAAACATAATTTATGATTACATCTAATAAAATTAACCATGATTCTCTAATATCATCTAACATTCAGTCCTAATTCTAATTTTCCCTATTGCCCTCAAAATATCTTCTATAGTCAATCAAGGCTCACCTATATGTCTCTTTAGTCTTTTAAAATCTGGGACAGTCATCTCTGAAGAGATAAGGCCAATTAATTGTCTTATAAAACAGTTCTACATTCTGGATTCTCAGAATAAAGACTATATTTCCTGATCTCCATTGTAATAGGATGTGGATACCAAACATCTACTCAATGAGATGCCCAGTATGTGAAAGTATTGTGTGCCTCTTCTGGAAGTCAGTCGCTGCCTGGGACATGAGTACGATGGCTGGCGCTCTGGCAGCCATATTAGACCTTAAAGGCAAGAGCTGGAAAGAGCTTAATAGAATTGACAATACCAGGTCTGTTTGCTTACTTCCCCACTTCTTGTTTCCCACCTCTTTCTTCTTTTTAATTATGTGTTTATTGCTTTTTTTTAGAGAGACAGGAAGGAGAGGACTAGAGAGATAGAAACATCAACGAGAGAACATGGATCTCTGGCTGCCTCCTGTACACCCCCTACTGGGGATCGAGCCCCCAAACCAGGCATGTGCCCTGACCAGGAATTGAACCATGACCTCCTGGTTCTTGGGTCAAGGCTCAACCACTGAGCCACACCAGCTGGGGCCCAGCTCTTTTATTTGAGAAAATAAAATCTTATGTGCTTAAGTCCCTGCTAATTGGGGCTTTCTCTCATATTCAGCTACATTCAATTCTAGCTGATAAAAAAAAGCCACATTGAGATATCTTGTATTTACCTGTAAGATACATTTGTCTATTTCTCAGGATTTTCCTTTCCTCCAGGTGCAGATTTCTGGCAGCACATCGTGACAATGTCCTCAGACTATCATGTTATCTACCCTGCAGTGTTGAATGAATCTTGGCAGTCAGGGGAAATTTCTGTAAGAACCTGTGGTTATAAATATGGGAAATAAAGTGGAGGTCACAGGTAAGAGGACACCAGGGCCAGGGCTGAGAGGTGTGTGTGCGGAGCAGGCGGGGAGTGACTTGGCGTTGGCACACGGCAGGTTTGTGTAAGACCTGGGCAGCAATACAGGGGCGAAGCTCCAAAGGGCAGGGCTTTTAGGAGCGGAAACGCAATAAACATGGAAACTCCTTGCATTCTTGCCAGCCAAGAGGAGGCTTCCTGCGTGTTGAAAACTCCATTTGAAAAGTGGCCCACAGGAAACAAAAGGAGTTGCAGCAGGTGAAGGCAACCTGGCGGCACCCCCTATGCCTGTCAATCACCAGGGCTGCCTTGGTGGGCCCAGGAATGAGGCTGGGCCTGGAGGGTCAGAGCGTTTCCTGGGTCAGCACCCACCTCGGCCTGCCCAGAGCATGTGGAGGACGTGCAATCTTGGTGCTGCCATTTCAGTCCTCGGTAATATGAGAAGCTGGTTAGTGTTTTGAGCTTTGACCATTCTCTTGGATGTTGAATTTTGAGTCCTAATAGATCTAGACATCTTCCTACCTCAACAGAGCAAAAAGTGTGGGTCCCAAGTCTAGGGACCTAAAAGAAATCACTGTGGTTGGGTCAGAATTTCAACTGATGTTACCATTAAAAAATAAACGCACACATATAAATATATATATGCACACATGCGTGTACACACACACACACACACACACACACACACACGAGAGAGAGAGAGAGAGAGAGAGAGAGAGAGAAAATGAGAATAGCGCTGACTCCGATGCATTTGTTCTTTCACTCACTTATTCTTGCAACAATCACTTGTTGAGATCTGACTTCCTCCCACTGGCTGTGCTATGTGGGGAGATGCAGATAACTGACTTTTTCAACATTTCTCTGTGCCTCACAAGAGACAAATACAGCCCTACCGGCGTGGCTCAGTGGTTGAGCGTCAACCTATGAACCAGGAGGTCACGGTTTGATTCCCGGTCAGGGCACATGCCCAGGTTGTGGGCTTGATCCCCAGTAGGGGGCATGTAGGAGGCAACCAATCAATGATTCTCATCATTGATAATTCTATCTCTCTCTCCCTCTCCTTTCCTCTCTGAAATAAATAAAAATAAATATATTAAAAAGAAAGAGACAAATACCAACACAATTGGCCAGAATCTATTGGGTCACAACCTACAACAGTGGAAGGAGCCCAGTGCTTCCCTAGCAGAGAGGGGAGTCGCTGGGGGCTCAGCCAGGTACAGCTGCACTGAATTTTCTGTGTGGCCAGGACTAATGTCAGACAATTTCCTGGGACCTTAATTACTCAAATCCCTGATAGCTCAAAAGCAGAAACCCGTTTAACACCACTCCCTCCAGAGATCTGTCATGGGACGGAGTGGGTGGCTCCACTGCTCCCAGAACCTGGCTGGCTCCCAGGGAACACTGCTCCCAAATGCTTGGTCAGGCAGTTTCCTTGGTCTATTTCCTAATGCATTTCTCAGCCATGACCCTGCTTCCCGGCTGTGGTGCTCCCCCAGGGCCTGGATAGGGGCAGAGGAGTGTTGGGATAGGGGGATGGTGCCCCTGCGTTAGGTCTTCCTTGCCCTCTCTACTTGGAAGCACTGCCTGAGTGAGGGTTTTAACGGACACACACACACACACACACACACACACACACGGTTCTTTTTTAATTTTTTAATTTTTATTTTTTTATTGCTTAAAGTATTACAAAGGGTATTACATATGTGTCCTTTTTTTTCTTCCCCGCCCTTGCCAATCCCCTGGCCCCCCCTACCTCCCAGTGTCTTATGTCCATTGGTTATGCTTATATGCATGCATACAAGTGCTTCGGTTGATCTCTTACCCCCCTCCCTCCTGCCCCCCAACCCTCCCTGGCCTTCCGGCTGCAGTTTGACAATCAGTTTGAGGCAGCTCTGCCTCTGTATCTATTATTGTTCAAAAGTTTATAATGGTCTTTATTATCCATGAATGAGTGAGATCATGTGGTATTTTTCCTTCATTGACTGGCTTATTTCACACACACACGGTTCTTAATGGACTTTGATGGCCATTTAGAACTCGTACCCTGAGGCTGGCTAACGTGATTAGCTAGTGAGTTTGTTTCCCCTCCCAGGTAAGCAATGTCTTAACTCAGTAAAGGATTTGTCTCTGTTTGACCCTTAGAGGTGTCTCTAATGGTGAGAACTCAAGGCTGATTATGTGAGGGGGGATTGGAAATCTCTTACCCTTCATCAGGCAGGAGAGGTAGCACCGCAGCTCGGCCCAGGGCTTGGCCTGGGTTGGAATCCAGCCTCTGCTACTTAACTATGTGACCTTGAGCAAGTTCCTTATCTTCTCTGTGCCCATTTGTGAAAACAGGGTTATTAGATAATAGAAGGATCTACTGCTTCGGGTTGTTGAAGAATTAAAGGAAAAAACAGGCAGAAAGCACACACAACAGTGCCCGGCACTTAGTAGGAACTCGCACAGTGTTAACTGTTATTATTGTGAGGTGAGCGCCTGTTCCTCTAAGGTACTTGTAGAGCTGGTTCCACTGACAGCCTGTACGCCTCTGAGGTCCTGATCTTCCTGCAGCTGGAAGCTGAGGTGACAGGCAGCAGTGAACCCTGTTGCATGTTCATCTCTCCCTCACCGCTGAGTTCTTTGGGGCAGAGGCCATGTCTATCATCCATTCAAGTCAGTAAGCTGACTTGAGCGTCTGTGTGTGCCAGGCTTTGCTGGGTATAGTGAAAAAGATGAGTAAGCAAATGCCAACATGGCCCCCTACCTGGTTTCCCCGGGAACTAGAAGAATGTTTGTCCCAAGAATGCAGGTGGAAGAACTGAGGAGGGTTGATATGAATCCTTGTGAATACAGATTTAATTTTAAAACTTATATTAATTTAATTTTAAAACTTATATTAATATCCTCACCCCTTTGATCTCTGATGAATTGCTTACTGGGAAAGGCAGATTGTATTTAAAATTTTAATGGGCCATGTGGGTTTGCCACTGGCTGGCTGTCTTTACTGCTAGAAAGCTGATCTGAGGATATACTATTTGATTTAAAAGCTTGTAAGTTCCTCATTTATAAAGTATCAAGGTTGATGCTACTTTCAAGAAGCTATCTATTTATTGATTTTTAATTGAAGCATAACTGACATACAATATTATATTAGTTTCATGTGTACAGCATAGTGATTTGACATTTGTATATGTTGCAAAATGATCACCACAGTAAATCTAGTTACCACCTGTCACCACCCAAAATTAATATAATATTATTGACTACATTCCCCAGGCTATAAATTACATCTGTCCCCGTGACTTGAGAGTACATGAAACAGAATTTACTCTTGTATTCCTATTTATTAATTATTGTATTATTTTCCACGCACAACTGTAAAACTACTTTTGCCCACCCTCTATTTAGTCCCGTAATAAACTCATTCCTCACACAATTTCCAATAAAAGTGTTATATTTAAATGGTTTCCAAATCCGGTCCTCTGTTTCCAGGGGTCAATGTTTTTTTCTCTTCCCACCCAAACCCTGACCCCCCAGTCCAAGTTTTCCCGACCTATCCACTGCATCCGTTTCCTCCTGAGTCTCAAGCTTATAAGCCCGAGTCATTCTCAAGCCTTGCCTTTCCTTTGTCCTCTTCATATGCAGTTACTCAATGACTTCTGCAATCTGTCTTTCTGAACATTCTCTTGCATTTGATCCTTCCTTTAAGCTTCCACAACACTGCATTTGTCTCCTGGACTTTTATTTACTTGAATTTCAAAGGATCTCATACCCACATGCTAGCAATTGGTTTAAAATACATGATGAGAGTTAGGATAAATAGATGTAAAGTACATGAAAAAAATTGCATAAAGGAGGAGAGCACTTGAGATCTTGCTCCCCAGCACATATTGTCAGTTTGGCTCAAATAAACTCATAAAAATTCTAAAAAAAGATAGCATAAAGAATGGAAAAAGATAAACTGTTGCAAAGTTCTTTCTTGTATTACTTGGGAAGTGACAAAGCCATGAACTTAAATTATAAAAAGTCAAGGATGCATATCTTGAAATATTTGGGGTAACCACTATTAAAATAATATAAGAATATATAACAGAATAAGCTAATAGAGGGGAATTAAAAGACAAACAAACCCTGAGTAATAAAAAAGGCAGGAAAGGAGAAAGAAAAGAAAAAAGAACTTATGGATTAAGCATAAAGCAAATAGCACAACGGCAGACTTAAAACCAACTCTACTTGTAATTATATTAAATGTAAATAAAAATATATGCCACAAAAACACTAACCAAAAGAAAGTCGGTATATCGTAAGTAATATCAGACTGAGAGACTTTTTGGCAAGAAGAATTACTAGATATAAATAAGGACATTTCATAATGATGCGTCGGTTTAAAAGGAAGACATACTGAATCTACCTTTGTATGCACCTAATAACAGAACTTAAAGAAAAAAATAGACAAGTTCACAATCCTTATTTCAGTTACTAATACAAATGCAGGAAATGTGAGTTTTCATGCACCTGGAGGGTGAGCAGTTATTCCATAGTGGTGGTGAGAAAGGTTTCACCCTATGTAAGCGAGGAGGCAGCCTACAGAGAACACAGCCCTCCATGTCATTGGACCCGAGTTCTCCCCATTGCCAGGGGGTTCCATGGAAATAAAGCTCCTCTCTTCTCTCTGTGGGATAAGAGCTGCACCCGGGCAGAGGAGGAACAAGCCTAGGGCTGTGACATTTGCAAGACACTAGACAGAGGATTGTTAGAGACTGAAGTCCCCGGATTTCTGTGAGGAGAGGTGATGTACTGACCCGGTGGGAGGGAGGAGAGGAAGGAGGTGAGGACGCCACCGGAGGGAAGTGTTGCAGAGTCAGTGTGAATCCTTCCCAGCCTATGGTGCGTGTTCTTGAGGAAAGGGCCTTGGAAAATGCAGGGCTGCAGCCTCCTTTCGGAAGGAAGCTGAGAGGCGAAGAGCTGGTGAACATAAGCTGCTGCAGAAGATGTAAGGAGCCTACGGAGCAAAATGCTAACCCTTCACCCCAGATTCAGCCAGAGTAGCTCCGATTTCATGTCCCACATCCTGGCTGTATCCGTTCACATTTGCTGCTGAAGCCTTCCCAAAGCTTAATGGCTAACAACAGCGCCTTTTATTTAGCTTGTGATTCTGTGGGTCAGCAATCTGGGCTGGGCTGGGCTCGGCCAGGCTGGGTTGAGGGGGCAGGGATGCCTGGGCTCCCTTCTGTGTGACCTCTCACCCTCCGGCAATGGAGGGATAGCTTGGGCTCACCCATATGGCAGCCCCAGATTCCAGGTGCAATAGGAGAAGGCAAGCCCCGATTTACTAGCACGTTTCAAGTCCCTCCTTTCTGTTTGCCACTGTTCCATTGGCCAATGTCGTCACACAGCCAAACCCAGACTCAAGGGGTGGAAATGGGCTCCACTTTGGCTGGATGAGCTGCAGTCACACTGCGTACAGGAATGGGGAGAGTTATGGCAGATTCTCAGACCCTGTTCAGACCTACGGTATCACATCTCTGCAAATGGGCCTGGACTTTCCCTGTCAGGTGATTCTTCCCCTTCATATTTTAAAATGTTAACTCTATAAATATATGTGTGAGAGATATGATATATATCTTTAAAAATAGGCACACTAACATAATGTACATTCATGAAACTATCACCCCACTTA